CAAGACCACAGCAGCTAAGGTTGAACACCGTGAATGAATGATGTGGCCATGATTAAAAAGTGGCAGCTACTACAGGGAACTTCTCCCCATACTTCTGTCATAGGGAGGCGGGCCGCGGGCAGAGGCTGCAGCATTAAGAACATGTTACATGTTCCACCCTAAAAACATGTAGAACATGTAACATTTTTCCAAAGGTGAACGTATCCTTTAAGGTGTACAGCACAGCTTAATAACTGTTAAGGCAATATAGCAAAGAGCTCATAAAACCCTACATCAGGCGTGAGGAAGAGCATAACCAATCAAAACAAACAAAAACGTTTTTGTTCATTCCTAGCTCCCAAAGCTGACTTGTCAGATTCTACATGAGAAGATTGTGGGAGAAATTAGCTTTCAGATTATATTTGAAAAAGGTGTAGGATTCTAACATGGAATTTCACATCAGACCCATCTGCTTTCAGCAGTACTCTGCAGTCCCATCACATTACCAGAAACATAGACCTTCTTCTAGATGGAATTCTTCTTTGCCTTGCTTATCCCCAAATGCCAGTAGTCCATAAGCACTGTTAGCTCTTTATTTCTTCATCTACAAGAACAACATTTTGCTTGTACACAAACATTGCAGCACAGCAATTTGACCTTTTTCACACTAAAAATTTCAGAATGCAAATATTACATTGCCTTTATAGGCCAATATACCGTAGCTTTTACTTTCAGACTATAAACAGTCATTATAGTCATTTAAAATCTACATCTTCTTTTCCAATCAATCCAATGGCAAACAGCAATCTAATTCAATGGCAATCCTATCCAGTGGCAAATTTCCAATTAAAATAAGTATTGACCTTGTAAGTGCTGCATACAGCAACAAAAAAAAAAGGAAAAAAAGAGAGCTAGAAGATATACTGAAATCTAAGGTACCCAATGACTTGGTAATTGCTTGACCCTACAAATATTACAGGCATTGAATAAGAACAACCTATATTTACACAGTACATTCACTTCACTCTCTCTCTCTTTATTGAATATTATAGTCATAGTTGGTAAGGCTGAATAAAGTCATAGGTCCATCCAGTTTAACCTATAATGTATTTGTATGAGTATGAGTGTGCGTGTGTGTGTGTATTTATGGATTCCAATATCCCTGTATATTGTGTTTGCTGAGGAATTTATCTAAGAATTTTTTAAGTTACAAAGTTGGTCTGGCTGAAAACAAGACAAAAGTCCATCCAGTTCAACCAAAAAAAAAAAAAGTTATAATCCTATACCCAGCATTGATCCAGAGGAAGGCAAAAAAAAAAACAGCAAAGCATGCTCCAATCTGCTTCTGCCGGGGAAAAAAAATCCGTCCCGATCCTCTGAGAGGCAATCAAATATTCCTTTGATCAAATTTACCTATAAATGTTAGTATCCAGTTATATTGTGTGTATCTAGTAAAGAATCCAGGCCTTTTTTAAAGCAATCCACTGACCTGGCCAGAACCAACTCTTGAGGGATATTGGTATCAGCTACAGTTAACTACTGTAGTTGATACCAATATCTGTGTGAGGGAGTTCCACTATTTTACTGCTCATACAAAGTTTAAGAAGAAATTGGTTCTCCTCTGACTTCATGTTATGGCTGTGTCTTCCACAGAGTCCTTAGATTAAACTGTATTGTAATGATTCACCTGGCGGTACCTCTGGCAGTCCACCGGACAGGATTCCTCAGAGCGCGGAGTCTAAGTCCCAGTCTACTTGTTCACCAGGGCCCCTGATGGTGGGGATGGACTTGGAGCAGGCCAGGACCAGGTCACGACCTCTAAGTACTCCCACTCGTGGCAGAGGGGTCCGCAGGGGATATCTACAAGAGGAGAGCCTGATGTGAAGAGGCCAAACGGGCCCGAGCAGGATGGATGGACGGATGGATGAATGATAATTTCATGGTCAGACAGGCCGAGCCGTTAACGCGGGGAGCAGCGAGGTACAAGGCGGCAGGCAGAGGAGAGTCGGGTCACACGCAGGGTCAATATCAGAGTTTCAGATCCAATAGGGGCAATCCAAAGAGAGGTCAGGCAAGCCAGGGGTCAGGGCAGGAGAATACAGCAAGTCAGAGGCAATCCGAGTCAGCAACAGTCAATCTACATAGGAACAGAAGCAGGGGAACACAGGATAGACCTAACGGCAACCAGTGTCAGCGCAGGGCATCTTTAAATACCACACCCTGCGCTGTCATAGTTCCCCTCCGCCGCGGCCGGCCAGGACCTAGCACCTGTAGCCCGGCGCGTGCCAGCAAACCGCGCATGCGCCGGATCGGATGCCACGGCGGACCCTGACAAGTATATTCCAACATTGAGAAAAAGGTGCAGCGCTAATAGTGCCAATATTGCTATATCTAATCAATATCTAAAAATTGTACAAATGATATTAAGAATTAAACGTCCCAAAGTCACACAAAAAGTGTGGTCTGCAAATTCTGTTGTGTCTCCTTTTTCAAGGTGATTAATCCACAGGTAGACAGGAAATGAGTGAAATACGCACTTACCAGAAGTGCGTTCAATAAACGCATGAAAAGAAAAATTCCTTTTCCTCAGGTGCGTCAGGGTCCTTTGGTATCTGGTTAAGCTGCACTCTCACTAGAGATCCCTCCTGGCCGGATTCCCTGGTTCGCTTCTGGGGTCCTTCCTTAAGCTTGGTTCATCTGGGGTTCCTCTTTAAGCATGGTAACTTCTGGGGTCCCTCCTTAAGCTTGGTACTAGAAGGGTAGTGCTCATAGAGAGCAATAAGGGACATCACATAGCGTGATACTGCATAAAAAGCTTTATTTCCAAATGTAGGTAAAAATAGACAGGCAAAGGTACTGACCGCAAGAATAAAGTGTTGGCCACCAGCGGTGGCTTAGATGTCCATGTGCTGATGTCCCTTATTGCTCTCTATGAGCACTACCCTTCTAGTACCAAGCTTAAGGAGGGACCCCAGAATCCCCGAAGTTACCATGCTTAAGGAGGAACCCCAGATGAACCAAGCTTAAGGAAGGACCCCAGAAGCGAACCAGGGAATCCGGCCAGGAGGGATCTCTAGTGAGAGTGCAGCTTAACCTGATACCAAAGGACCCTGACGCACCTGAGGAAAAGGAATTTTCTTTTCATGCGTTTATTGAACGCACTTCTGGTAAGTGCGTATTTCACTCATTTCCTGTCTACCTGTGGATTAATCACCTTGAAAAAGGAGACACAACAGAATTTGCAGACCACACTTTTTGTGTGACTTTGGGACGTTTAATTCTTAATATCATTTGTACAATTTTTAGATATTGATTAGATATAGCAATATTGGCACTATTAGCGCTGCACCTTTTTCTCTATATTATTCTGGAAGGTTATGTTGGTTACCTTTTTAGGTGTTCTAGCAGCTTACATTCTTAAAAGTTTTTGCATCACAGTGGGCGCTCGCTATACAATCCTATATTTATATTCCAATATTGTTGTCATCATTGATACATTTGTATGCTAACATACATACTCCTTTATCCAGTGCCTGTTTTTCATGAAGAATAGGTTTAATTTGTATAATCTTTCCTCATAACTTAGATCTTCTATCCCTGTCAATAATTGTGTTGCCCTTCCATGAACTCTTTCTAGTTCAAGAATGTCTTTCATACGGATTGGTGCCCAAAACTGAACTGCATACTCAAGGCCAAACCAGTGTTTTGTAAAGTGGCACATCTATAGTTTTATTTTTTGAGTAAATATCTTTTTAATGCATTATAGTAGTCTGCTGGAGATCCCTTTCCTAAAAGGGTTCTTTTAGTCAGGCCATTATTTATGCACATATTTAGATATAGTATCCAGGAATACCTTGGAACATAATTCACTGCAATTGTTCAGGCATAATATGGTAGTAGTTTGAATGACTGGTCAAACACAATAGCTTCCATTTTTTCCAAACAGTCAAAATGACCGCTATATAGAAAACTGAATACACGATCATCAGACCATGTATCATGGACAATGGCATCTGTAGTCACCATGACATACTCTCCAACTGTTCTTGACTATCAGGGACAGACACAAGTAAGAAAGAATGTGTCTGTGAATTTTCATTTCCTGAAAATATCCATGATTCAAATGTATAAATTGCCTAACATCCAGAGGCAATTTTCATTATTTGTTCTATCGCTACATGCTGTAAGGTAAATTAAACTGAAAGGTTTAACACATAACAGGAACAGATTTTGAAAACATCAAACAATTTTGTTTTGCTGTGGGTTGTATTCATATTTCTTGCTCGATAATGAAGAGCATGCATATATCTTACTAAATACAGTGTCTGAATATTTTTTTATAATGCTAGCAATAAGGCAATTCATACAGCTGTGAACTGTATTCAGGTAATCAATGAATCTGAACAGTTAGTGCTGAGAATAGATGTGTCAATTCCAAAAGCTCATCAGCTATGGCCAAACTGTAGTGTTTTAGGGAATACAAGCTTAAATTAGTCCAGAGTCTTCTATATAAACCACCAGCATTTTCATCTTAAAGGCTTACAATAAAAGATAGCCTACTATGATGACCTGTACCAGGAACACAAGTGACCATATTGGAAGTACATATTGGAAGTATTGATACTCTTGCAATCACCATGTCATTTTGAGTTGCATAATGGTGGCTTCATGAATTTGAAAAATTGATACAGTTGGATTTGTAGACCGTAATTGTTGGAATTTTTCACAATATCATCATTATATTGTACTTACATTCACTAATCAATTACTTTTCCTTGCAATATTTCTGTTTATATAGGCAATTGAAATGCTGGGAGGCCTCTACTATTAAGCTCTAAAAGTAACCTTTACTATTACAACTATTGTTCTGTCTGTACTGGAAACCACTAATCTATACGTTTGTTGTGAGTACTGGCCAATTTAAACCATTTGGTTCTATTTACGTTTGTTTCTGGCGGTACATTTTTATATATTTCCTATTATAGGAATTCCTCACATTAAGGTTGGCCTTTGTGCTCAGGCAGGGGCAGACTGACCATTTGGAAACTCAGGCACTGCCTGAGGGCCCGGGGTCAGTAGGGGGCCCCATGAGACGCCCCTGGTACCTTTTTCATAAGCTTTTTTTTGTTTGGGCAAGGACACAGGGGCCCCATGATCCCCTATTGCCCGGGGGCCCCATGAGTTGTCAGTCCGCCCCTGTGCTCAGGTATGGCTCACCTCCAGCCCTGGTCCCATATGTCCGCCCTCTAGACATCTATGCCACTGACTTACCACCTCCATGTAAGCTCAGCCTCATTTCTTGTATGTACAGTTGCAAGAAAAAGTATGTGAACCCCTTGGGATTACGTGGAGTTTTGCATGAATTGGGCCTAAAATGTGCTCTGAACGTCATCTAAGTCACAACAATAGAAGAACACAGTCTGCTGAACATAATACTACACAAACAGTAGATGTTGCCATGGTTTAACTGCACATAACATGTAAATATTCACAGTGCAGGGAGGAAAAAGTATGTGAGGCCCTAGCTTAATGACTTCTCCCAGAGCTAATTGGAACCAGGAGTGAGCCAACCTTGACTCCAATCAGTGTGATGATATTGGATGTGTTGCTGACAGCTGCCCTGTCCTTAAAAAACACACACACCTGTTTTGGGTTTACTGGTTTCAAGAAGCACTGTCTGATGTGAACCATGCCTCGCAGAAAAGAGCTCTCAGAAGACCTACGATCAAGAATTGTTGACTTGCATGAAGCTGGAAAGGGTTACAAAAGTATCTCCAAAAGCCTTGATGTTCATGTGTCCACGGTAAGACAGACTGTCTACAAATGGAGAAAGTTTAGCACTGTTGTTACTCTCCCTAGGCATGGTCGTCCTGTAAAAATGACTGCAAGAGCACAGTGCAGAATGCTGCATGAGGTAAAGAAGAATCCCAGAGTGTCAGCTAAAGACCTACAGAAATCTCTGGCGCATGCTAACATTTTTGTTGACACATCTACAATAAGGAAAACATTAAACAAGAATGGAGTATATGGGAGGACACCACGGAGGAAGCCATTGCTGTCCAAAAAGAATATTGCAGCACGTTTGAAGTTTGCAAAAGAGCACCTGGATGTTCCACAGCACTACTGGCAAAATATACTGTGGACAGATGAAACCAAGATTGAGTTGTTTGGGAAGAACACACAACACTATGTGTGGAGAAAAAAAGGCACAGCACACCAACATCAAAACCTCATCCCCACTGTAAAACATGGCGGAGGGAGCATCATAGTATGGGGCTGCTTTGCTGCCTCAGGGCCTGGACGGATTGTTGTCATTGATGGGAAAATTAATTCCAGAGTTTATCAAGACATTTTTCAGGAAAACGTACGACCATCTGTCCGCCAACTGAAGCTCCGCAGAGGATGGGTGATGCAACAGGACAATGATCCAAAGCATACAAGTAATTCAACAAAACAATGGCTGCAACAGCACAGAATATGCCTTCTGGAGTGGCCCAGTCAGAGTCCTGACCTCAACCCGATTGAAATGCTGTGGCATGACCTTAAGAGAGCGATTCACACAGACATCCCAAGAATATTGCTACACTGAAACAGTTTTGTGAAGAGGAGTGGTCCAAAATTACTCCAGATCGTTGTGCAGGCCTGATCTGCAACTACAGGAAATGTTTGGTTGAGGTTTTTGCTGCCAAAGGAGGGTCAACCAGTTATTAAGTCCAAAGGATCACATACTTTTTCCTCCCTGCACTGTGAATGTTTACATGTTATGTGCAATTAAACCATGGCAACATATAATGTTTGTGTAGTATTATGTTCAGCAGACTGTGTTCTTCTATTGTTGTGACTTAGATGACATTCAGAGCACATTTTATGCCCAATTCATGCAAAACTCCACATAATCCCAACGGGTTCACATACTTTTTCTTGCAACTGTATATTGTGTCCACCTTATATACATCTATATGTTTGTATATTTAGTTTGTATTTTCTTTATGCAGTAGCACTACTCTACCTCATATTCAAGCTACAGTCCTGAAGAGGCCAAATGCAAAGGCAAACGCATTGACCGTATTTTGAAATATATGTATGTTGTCACTATGTGCTGAGTGGTTAACCTTTACTATACATGAGGGGGGCTTTGTGCTGAACTTGATGTGCTTTGTTCTTATCTTCTCTTTTGAAGAGTATTTTTTGTAATGTGGGTTCTATTATGGACATATGATTCTTTTATGTCAATAAATGGTTAAATGCATTTTATTGTGTGGTCTCTTACTGTGCCCAAAGAATCCAGTGCCTTACTGTACTTAGCAGTTCGGTCCTTTTTCTTTTCAATATTTCTAGGATTTGGCACTAGCAAGCTTGTTTTGATATTGTTTCTATATTGTAAATTGTGTGAGAAACAAAGCAGTTGCAGGATTGCAACATGGACCCATAATCATTCAAAGCCTGGTGCCAGCTGTTGACTTTGGATGGCCTGATAATGTGCCCTTTGCTGACTAACATTGGTTGGTCTTTAGCACATGTTAATGCAACAGTATGTTTAAAGTGTTACTAAACCCAGAACAGTAACATCAGTCTGTATATGCTGTAAAGCTTGCTTGTTATACTCACTGTGGAACCTAAGGGGTTAATCCTCTGCATTGTGTAAAAAGGCTGTTTGTTCCTGATTGCTCTATTCCTCCCCATGTTTAAGCGACCACCTCTTATCTCCTGATAAGACAGACTGAATGGTAGCCATTCTGCACATGCTCAGTTTGGTGTGTATTGATAGAGAGGTTTTTTTTTTTTTTTTTCTTGGTAGAGTGCATGTGATCATCACAGGGCCATTCAGCACTGTCCAGACAGAGGTCAGGGGTTTTGCATCCTCCCAGAGCAGAAAGAAAACTCCTCCTACAAGCTCTAGCTAGTGCTTGGCTGAACACTGATAGAAGCCACATGACTGCTCTAACTGCTGGTGAGAAAAGGTATTTAGCAGTTTATATTTACTTCCATGTTCTGTGTACTGTGGAAGATCAGATATAGTGAATGAAGGGTCCAGGGTTTAGTAACACTTTAATAATACAGAAATCGTATGTCTATGTCTCAACAGTCATGTTATTTTCTGGCTTCTGGCCAGCTCACTACCACCAGTTTGTGGTAGTGAGCCCTGGTAGATCACCAGCTTGGGGTTTTCCAGGGTGTGGAGTCTAAGCCCCATCCTGCTTCACCACCAAAGCCACTGATGGTGGGGATTGATTTGCAGCAAGCTGGTACAGACCGCAGCCCCCAGTTATGCCCAGCTGAGGATACAGAGACCATTCACATGTGCAGAGTACAAACAGCAGGAGACAAAAGGAAATCCTGGAGACAAGCGGAGGTCAAGACAGGTAGCAAGCAAGCACAGATAGTGAGTGAAGCCAGGATCAGTATACGGGTAGTCAGGCACAGGCACAGCTTTGTGAAGAAGTCAGAAGTGACGAAACACGTCAAGGAAGTGATATTCAACCGGAAGTTGTGGAGCGGCCATCTGGACTGAGGTTTTTCATTCACAAATTAGGATTTTACAGGGGATTCAAATTCTTTTACAATAAAGAAGGATCACAAAGTTTTTTCTATATGTTTTTATTGTAAGCATAACTTTATGAAAATATATGCATTTGAATATGATATACTACACCATAAAGATTCTGTTTTGACCCTTATTATGGTACCACATGGAGAGTGAGCTGAGCAGGGATGGTTGGATGAGGAGAGCTTTTCATGCATATTAAAGTGTTTAATCTGGTAAGGTGCATGGTGTGTAAGCAGACAGGGAGTGTATCTCACATTTACACGTATACTGTGAATATTGGGGAAGCACTTTTTTTGTATCCAAAGTATATTGAACTATTATTGTTTTTTTTTTTTTTTAGGAAATATTGAAGAAAGCAAAGACGGATTGGAACACAGTTTTGGAGTATATGATATTGAGAGCTATAAACAAGTTTTGATAGGGTAAGGGTGTTTAATACAGTCATTTAGATGTGGACACTAAGTGGGGTGACACGTCAGTAACCATAGGGGGATTATATGTTTTTTTGTATATTTGTGTGGTATAATGCACTATATTGCGTTTTCTTTTTTTGAGGATTTCACGGATTAAAGCCATATCTTCATGAAGGTGGATTAAATCTGAGAGCACATATATAAAACGTTTTTGAGGATATCACAAACGCTGAAAGATTATTATATAGGCACAGGATACATGTGTATCAAGGAACTGGAGCTCAGAGAAATGTGAAGATGCTCAGGCAACTATCTGAGCATGTCTCATATAGGCAATCAAACCAGGGCGCGAACCAAGAAATGATGGAAGGGAAGGAAATAAAAGCCCGCAGCATAGCAGGCGATGCCCATAGGTGAACACAGCCAAAACCACGCATGTGAAAGGAATCACGGTAGGAAAAAGACTGCAGAAAGGAGTCAGAAAACTGCAGGCTAACTGCTGACAGAGGCAGTGATGAGAAGCAATAATGGCAGACTACCCATTTTTTGTATTTTTAATAAAGGCTAAATTAATTAGTTTTTACACATGAACTATTTTAATGTCATTATGTATGATTTTGTCATTTACTGATTGATGAGCTATACTCATATCTAAGCTGGTAATGTGTATGTATGTATACGTGATCATGTTACGGTATATTCATTATCAGTGTCTCGATGGCTTGTCCTATCTGTAGAAGGTGAAAGAGTATATAATGTTCCTTGAACTTGTGTATAAGGAATCAAGTGCATTAATTCTGAAAAAAAGGAAGAAACACAGAAAATAACTTAGGAGTCTATTTTCCAATGTTTTCACCTAAGATTTACACAACATTTACCCATTTTTCTAACAAAATCCAATGTGAAAGTAAGTTAAAACTGGATAAAAAAATTGTGTAAATAAACCCCTAAAGCAGGGCTCAAAATTTCTAGTCCTGAACTACTAGCCAGGCCTTAACACTCGCTGTTGTGACTGGGTGTCATATGACGTCCTGTCAAAACGAGCCGCTCGCGCAGCGACACGATCTGTCACCGGCTGTGCCCACGGGACACAGCTGATGACATATCACTACACCGGCCTGTTGCCAGTGTCAAGTGACAGCTGTGACCAATCACAGCAGATCACATGTCAATTGTATACTACGCCATCCATTGTATACAATTATGTTGTTAGCTGTGACTGGTCAAGGCAGTCACA